AATGACAACTCTCAAGAGACCCAGTAACAATAAATGTTGGCAAGCATGTGGGGAAAAGGATACACTCATACATTGCTGGTGGGATTGCAAATTGGTGCAACCAATTTGCATTTGTTTACACACTGTACACAAATGGAGCACTAGRAAGCAGTATGGAGATTCTTCAGAAAACTAGGAAGGGAACAACCATGTGACTTGGTTATACTGCTTCTCAGTAAATATCCAAAGGAGTTAAAATCAGCATACTACCTTGATGCAGCCACAAATGTTCATARCAGCTCAAATTCATAATAGCTAAACTATGGAACCAACCTAAATGCCTTTCGACAGATGAATGGATAAAGAATGTGGTACATATACACATGGAATATCACTTAGCCTTAAAGAAGAATGAAATTATGACATATGCAGGTAAATGAATGGAACTAGAGAACATCATGCTAAGTGAAATAAGCCAAACCCAAAAAAACCAAAGTCCAAATGTTTTCTCTCATAAATGGATGCTGATCCATAGTGTGTGGGGGGAGATAGGGAATAATGAAGGAAATCTGGATTTTTCAGATGGGAGCGAGAGGAGGGGTGAGGCTCTGGGGATTATTACTCTATATACATGTATGTTTACAATACTGGTGTTACTCTACACCATGTATAGGGAGAGGAATGAGAAATTGTGCTCCATTTGTATACAGTGTGTACACAAATGCAGTCTAATGTCATGTATAACTAATTATAACAAACTAAAAAAATTAAAAATATTTAAAAAGAGGAGCTCCATTTTTGTGTAAATATATCAAATGACTCTATTKTCACATATACCTAAAAAGAACTAATAAAAAAAAGTGAAAAGGAGAGTAATCTTTGAATGACATTACATTCAAGGCCTGAGGTTAATAACAAGAGTTTTTCTTTATGGTTCAGTTGAATACTCCCCTTTAATCTCTCCTTACAAAACTCACTATTGACCCCCATTCTTCTTAAAATGACAATCTATCTTTTAGGCTGCATGTATATGATTTTCAATTATTGATGAGTTTTATCATAGTTCTTTATACCTGTAGAGTTAGAGTCCATTACTTAAAGGAAATTAAACTCCTTAACAGGGTAAAATTTGGTGTTTAGACATATGCTTTATTCTAATAAGTAACTATGATTGATGTACACATATAAACCTGATAAGATTTAGTATAAAAGCCTGGTTCCAAGACACAAGCAGAATGTGATTATTACCTGGGAAACAGCAAATGATAGCAACCAACATGGTGGGACCAGGCTCCAGGTGTATCTGGGTTCAAATGATGGCTTCACCTCCCACCATCTTTGTGCTGTTGGGAAGCTCCTCCTCCTTTCCGTAAAAAAATGGAATCCACTGTACCAATCTACTGAAGTTATTGTGAGAAGTAAAGAAAACAAAATGCATTTCCTTGTAAACGGAGGCCATCAATAAAACCTGAGTGCTTTTTAATCCGGTCTTGTGCCCATGCTTGGTGTCTGGCCTCTGTGGCCATTTTAAGGCATGATTTCTCATTTAATGGGATAAAGTAACACATCAGTTACAAGAAACCCGCTTTGTATGGAAAACTAACTAGCCGAAGGGACAGAGACTTCTATTTGAYGTCTGGGTGGCTGACAATTTCTCAATGCTTCATTTGAATGAGAAGAGCAATCTCCAATGTGCTTTATAAAGAGATGTGATCTCTCTAATCCACCGCTGCAGCGTGTCCAACAAGATCAGGCTGCTTTCTCAGGTACAAGTCATAAAGAAAAGGAAAAGAAAATGCTACTTCATTTTGACCTCTGTGCTTTCCCCAGAAAATGGTGGCATTTTTTCAGTGCWCTTAAATCTTTTGGATTACCAATAGCAGAAGACATTGAGGAATTCAGTCCTGGTGAGTAGATGAGAAAGTTATAATAGAAGACTAAAATGATACAAAAAATAAGAGCACCTTGCAGCTCTTCTCCATTTACTTCATGATTGTTATTGAGAATCTTTGATGTGTCTACTAAAACCCAAGCCTGAATGTTAATTTGTGAACTGGAAATCATGTCAAGGCCTTCAAGTATTATTACAACAAAACCCCAAATATAAATAGCCATTTTTAAGAATAGAACATGCTTTCCCCTAAATCAGGAAGGATTAGAAGAACCAGGTTACTCCTGAAGAAATGAGAAATAAAAGACAGTGAATATATTCTAAAAATAGGTTTGAGTTATCAAATGAAGTACCCCTGGATGCTGATTCCTTTTACCCTTTCTCAGAATAAACTCTTTATGGATTGAATATTAATTAACCTTTGGATATCCGTGGGAAATAATTTGGAGTGTCTAATTTTGTCAATATCATTTCAGATGTTAAAAGCAAACTGCCAGAAATTAAGCCTTGTGGTCTTTTAGAAAGTTTGTAAGGTTTCACAATCATCGTTTTAACACAGAAATCTGTTTATTAAACCAAACAAAACAGAGAAAATTATACCAGCCCTCAATTTTTAAATTTTCATTTAAATAAGCAAACTCTAAATTCACACCTTAAAAGATGTTGTGCATCTATGTATTTCCAAAATACTCATATTTCAATAAGATTTTCACATTATATTCACCAACAGTATCACAAAAGTTTTCTTTTTTTTTTTTTTGTTTTTGTTTTTGTTTGTTTAAGTAACTGTAAGGAACAGTAATTCTAGAAACACTAGAAGAAAAAAAGCATAGCAATGTCCACAGTTACAAGAAAAGGTGCACATTACTTGGTCACAATCACAGTCATTACTTGAGAAACCATATGTAACAAGTAGGTAAGAAATATCACTGATGCCTTCAACTCATTGTCAAAAACCGAATGACACGAAATTTACATGAAATAAGGCAAATTCAGGAATGCACAAAGAATTTGTAATCCAACCGAAGCGAAACAACAGAAAAAAAAATAATCATACAAGAAGCATAAACTAAAGTATTTCTCTCTAAATAGTTTTAAAATAGGCTTGCTTCAAGTGCACAAAGAAAACACCACTCATGTGTCTCCAATGCTAGAAAAGAAGAAAGAAGGGAGCCCCAAGGGAACAGTTCATTGTAATTGGCAGCTGCATCTGCTGAGAGTTCTTTATTTTAGCTAAAACTGTAAAGTATACAAATCATATCAGCAGACATAACAGTCTTTTTTGGAAACTATTTCTGATAGAGAAAAAYGAAAAGAAAACCTACACACGAGTGCAAATTTTCAGATTGTCACTTGCAACCTCAACATTCAGTCATCTACATCCAATTGCTGCTAGAGGGGTGCTTGGTAAGACAGCAGCGGCAATCAGGAGTGAGCAGCTCTAAGGAAACCAAGGTGTGATTTTTTTTCAGCACGTCTTTTTTAATATTAAAAAATCCCGTGATGAAAACTGGTATGGTAAAGCTGCAATCTGGAGCGGGTTTTTTTTTTTTTTTGAAATCAGCATAAGTGCAGAAATGCAGGCTTCTCATAGAAGTAGTTCCTGATGTGACGATTTAAAGAACGTAGGCAAGGGGTTTTCCAGCATCAAGTGTTATTTTTGTAGAAAGAATTTGGAAAGAGGAGAAGGCAAAGGGATATGGAAAAGGTACTTACAGTAATTTTTTCAAAACAGTTTTCTTTTAGGACCTATGAAAAAGTTACCAAAGTAAAAATGACAATTTTTGAATGAAAAACAAGTTTTCTTTTTATAAAAATTACATATTTTTTTCTTTTAAAATACAAGATCCTTTTCATTGTTGTTATATCCTGTAGCAACAAGAAATTTGGCTTTTTTTTTTTTTTTGCCAGATACTTCTGCTTTCAGTCCAATGAGTCAGTAGCAAATTCCACTAATATTTCAGTTGGATCTTGAACTATTTTTTTTTWATACCACAAGTTTCTTCTGAGTTATCCTTGAATTAAGAATACGCAGCCTTTTTTTTCTTTTCTTTTTTTTTTTTTGCCCATGATACTTATGCTGACACATTAAAACAAAAAGCAATAGGCTGAACAAATTTAAGTATCTCAAGTGCTTCAGAGGCCAAAGTTCCTTTGAAGCACCTTAACACATCACTTTATGGATCAAGGACAATGTGGCATAATGGAAGTATTTCTCTTAAAAGATTGTGCAGTAAGACCAGAAGTATCTCTGCTGGGAAATCAAAATGTCATTAGTGGAAACTGCAAATTTAGAACTCAGTGAATATGGTCATCATTTGACTCAGTTCTGTTGTAAAATGAGATTTTCCAGTTCATCTGCAGAACGCAATAAAAATGCAGCTGATTCTCGATATCCTGCGACAAGCTGTCTCACGGCATTGATTTCTGTTGGACTCAACTGAGGTCTGGAGCTGGAGCTGCTGGAGGAGCCCGAGCTAGTTGCCAGCTGCCTCTTCATGCTGAGATCGGTGGGTCCTAGAAAAAAGTATGCACAAAATTAGACCCAAACCGTATTTGTTCTACTACCGTCGAYGTGAGCACTCAGTAAATTACTGTCAAATTAATTCATGCATCCTTTCATGAGAATCTAGTGCTATCTTTAATCAAATACAACTACTCTCAGAAAGACTGAAGATCAGTATAATACTATATGAGTGGCTGAGGATTTAGGTGCCTTGTGTAGCCTCTGGTAATCACTTCTTGTTACAGAGAGAGAAGCACATTGAACATGTGCTCTCTGGAAAATTCAATTTTAAGTCTACCTTCCATATGTTGCAAAAGCTTCTCTCTACTAGCAGAGAATGATGAGAATTACACACTTTTTWAAAAATTTGCTGTATTCATTAGCTATCTTAAATTCTACTAATCCAGAATTCTAAAAACTCTTACACYGTSATGCTAATGACTTGAGTAACACACTCAGAAAGAAGGGAACTGAAGACTGAGGGGCTTGGGTGATGTGTTTAGAGTTGGTCAAATTTTTATATGGYAAAAGAGAGATGGATATTTCTTTACTTCAGGCTGATGTTCTTTTCCACCAGAATTATTAAGAAACATGAACATATTATATTGAGATTTGCTTTTGAGGTACAGGAAGTAAATGGTGAATGTCAACAATACTACAGAGAAACAAGACATTTGGAATAMTGCTTTATGCATTGTTAAAGTGGCTCCTATGTTTGCACAAACACATTTTTTCCTTATGTAATTGAACCCAAGCTGGTAGCTCTGATTTTAGACCAMATTTTGTAAATTTTAACTGAAAAAAAAATATAATAGAGCTATTTAACAGTCTTTCATTCAGATACTTGTGTTGAGAAGCTATTTCAACTATTTGGGGGTTATTAAGATTAGGTTATATATATGAATGTTCACYTTTATAGTTCTTACAATTCATTAAGCATTTGCAATAATTATCAAGTTTGCAGTAAGTGTCAATTTTAAAATCCTTGAAGAAAATATTACTAGGCACATAACAAAAGACATGCTCCTAATCTGTAATGAATCTACAACTTGAAAATGTTTTAACACATTTTTCATAATATGTGTAACTTTGCAGATAATGTTTTTGTTTTTTATTTACTTAAACAAGGATATCCCCTATTGTCTCCTGGTTCTTCTTGAGGCATGATAGAAGCAGGTCAAGAATCAACCTCCTCCTATCTTCTACCCTGAAAGAGGCAGATGTCCCATGAGAAGGAAATAGCTTCACTTGGAATTTAATTAGACAGAGACAACCCTAGCACACAAGAACTCTGACCTCTGAAGGAAACTTAGTGGCCTTTTGAAGCTTTGATTTCTCTAGCTGGAGTTAGCTTCCATTTGTTCTGCTATTCACTAAATCATGGTATCGACATGACAAGCTCAGAGGTGGGGAGATGTCACAATTTTAAGAGAGAATTACCAAGCCTGTGTCCAAGCAAATCATTGATAGTGTCTAGTTATTTGAAAAGTTCTGAGTAGATTGGAAAAAAAAAAAAAGTATCATGACATCCAAAGGGTTCTGGTCTCTGGATGAACCCACTTTAAATTTTATTTTATTCTTCACTTTCAAGAATCCCTGTACTAGTATAGATCTTTATGAAAGGAAATTGCAAGAATTTTCCTTTCAGCTCTGCAGCTGACTAATGTTAGGTTTCTGATAATCATTATTTCATTAGAAGGTGTAATATTTTGTGCAGTTTGCTAATATGCCAATTTGTGGATTGACATATTGAAATAAAATTGAGAAAAGTCTGAGGCCATAGCTCCAGTTCTTTCTGAGATGAAAGGGACTCATTTTATTCTAACACAGTAGTTTAGAGGTTATTTCTCACTTTCGTTTCAAAATTCTGAACTTTCAAACCAAGACATATCTTTGACTTGCTTCCAAATGTGTGTTAGCATAGGCAAATTCTACACTGCTGAGAAATATCTATGTTCTCTGGAAGAAAATCGAGTTCATTATCTTGATTTCTTTTGCATCTGCAGGGTCAGAATTGAGTGTTTAAATCCAATCTATAAAGAATCATTTTTACTAAATATCTATTATTCAAATCTTCAATTCTACAGGCTGCAGAAAGAAGCAAAAAATAAAATGAAAATATTCACAAATGGACAAATAATTTAACTAGTAACCACTCAACCAGTCTTCCTTGATTGTCACTGGATTACATTCCTGCCTGACTGAGTTAATGCCACACTTGAATTAAAGCAACAATATGATATAATTAGGGGGCATCAATTATAAACCAAAAATACAAATTTTATGAAGGTGCTGAATTTAATGAAGTCCAGAAAAAGAATTTTGGGGGAAAGGTCACTAAGAAGTATGGCTATGGAAAAGCTGGAAAGGTTAACAAAACAATGACCAAAGATCAGGACATAAAAGATGCTTCAAGAGAAAATGATTTTAATATCAAATTTAATACAAACACTAATAAAACTTGATAATTTATGTAAGTCCTAAATTTTAACCAAAGTAATGTCTTTTTTAAAGCATATGATTTTAATTGAGCATATTCATCACCTGGAAGGCATTTATTTGTAGGATTCTAATAGATTCTTCTCTTGATAATTGCCTTTTAGCAGATTAATGCTTTGCAGATTAATTACTTCCAATTAAAGGTTAAACTGAAAGCTCTTCAATGAACAGGGAAAAGGAGTTTGAAATATGGGGATTCACTTAGTGTTTATGTCTGAAAACACTGCTAGGTCCGTAGTATGTACTCAGTAAATATATCCACTGCAAATTCATATGGGAATGGAGATCTAAGTTTTTGTTTTCATTTACTATAGTACAGGGAATTTATAATACATTTTGCCATTACTTGTGATTCGAACAATATCTGTCAACATCAAAATGGCCTTACTGCAGGATAAGATTGCCATGTAAGCACTGTTTTGCCTTGTAACTTTAGATTGGATTCATCAAGTAACCTTACCATTTCTTCAGCTAAAACTCATTTCAAAGCCATTCAATGCTTAATAATGGTACTTGAGGACAGTTCTCCTTGTTTAAAAAAGTTTCAATCTTCGAAATCTTGGAATGGAACCAATGGAACCACCATTTGACCCAGCTATCCCTCTCCTCGGACTATACCCAAAGGATTTAAAAACAGCTTACTAAAGGGACACAGCCACATCAATGTTTATAGCGGCACAATTCACAATAGCTAACTGTTGAGCCAACTTAGATGCCCTTCAGTGGATGAATGGATAAAAAAAATGTGGCATATATACACAATGGAATTTTACTCAGCATTAAAAGAGAATAAAATCATGGCACTTGCAGGTAAATGGGTGACGTTGGAGAAGATAATGCTAAGTGAAGTTAGCCAATCCCCCAAAAACAAATGCCGAATGTTTTCTCTGATATAAGGAGGCTGACTTATAGTGGGGTAGGGAGGAGGAGCATGGGAGGATTAGATGAATTCTAGATAGGGAAGAGGGATGGGAGGGAAAGGGAGGGGGCAGGGGATTAGCAAGGATGGTGCAATGTGATGTACATCATTATCCAAAGTACATGTATGAAGACTCAAATTGGGTGTAAAACATACTTTATATATAAACAGATGTGAAAAATTGTGGTAGATACATGTAATAAGAATTGCAATGCAAAAAACCTCAAAGTATATGTATAAAGACATGAATTGTCATGAACATACTCTATATACAAAGATGTGAAAAAATTGTACTCTATATGTGTAATAAGAATTGTAATGCATTCTGCTGTCATGCATTTAAAAAAATAAAATCAATAAAACTAAAAAAAGGTTTCAATCTTAACTCTGGATCTGAAAAACTTTGCAATAAAATTTTATCATCAAGCCACAAAACTGCTGTGTGGTAGAACAAGTTATGACATATAGCCTATTTCTGGCAACATTTCTCAGAACTGAAGATGATTAAATTGATGAGAATGAATGACGTTTATAGGTGACACACTGTTTCAACAACACTTGAAAGAACCAAATGTTTTCCACAATGCTCCTGCTGATATCTCAGTGAATAAGTAAAACATAATATACCTATTATATTATGCTTATATAAGCATAATATAATAGGTATATTATGTGTTAGCAAACTTTATAAAATCTGTCCAAATAACACATTTTGCAGAATTTTTTTTTTTGAGAGAGAGAGAGAGAGAGAGAGAGAGAGAGAGAGAGAGAGAGAATATGAATCTTTTTTTGTAGATGGATACAACACAATGTCTTTATTTTTATGTGGTGCTGAGAATCAAACCAGGGTCCTGCCTGTGCTAGGCGAGTGCTCAACCGCTGAGCCACAATCCCAGCCCACATTTTGCAGATTCTACTTTATGTTGTACTGCATTAGTTCTTTCTCAACATTGAAAATATTCTGAGCTATAGTTGCTCCATGAATACTACCCATGAAGGCTAATTCTTCTGTCACCCTTAACACGTTGTCCTCCTGAATAAACACCAAAGTAACATTTTTACTCAACAGGCAAGGAAAATCTACTTGAAATCATTTGCTTTGCTTTTTTAATTGAACATTGATAATTTCCAGCATCTCAATTCCTACAACCTATGGAACTTTTTATGCCATAATGCTAACTGTCTGAAACAAGTTTTTTCTTTTCTGGATACATTTTTTTTTAGCTGTCATAATGAAGCACAACTTACTAAACTTACTACCTGTAAATGAAGTCACTTCCTTGGTTGGCTGACAAATGAGCGAGTTGGAGACTTACTTTGGCTGGAGGTTATTTTTGTGATCAGATGTTTAAGAGGAGTAGTTATTGAAGATAATTTAATGCCTTTATGGCAAAGGTGAAAAAAAGAACAACTATAAAACTTCAATATTTTAACTTAGCTGGTAGGGCATCTACCAGAATGCCTCAATTCCATGTGATACCCCATATCTGTTAATTCCCTTCACCTGATAACTGAATATTTGTTAAGGGTCATATCTGAAATCCTAAGCTGAATATACATTACTAGATTCAACATGGGAATAAGTTGCATTTA